GGGCAGAACGGAGACTCAGCCCAGGCAGCTGGGCTCCCTGCTCTTCAGCTCTCCCGCGCACTGCCCCACGGGCTCCTGAGCGACCTGGCATGTGGCCGACTTCGCTGCCCCAAAAGATGCTACGGCCTGGAAGGCGGGAGCCTTTCCAGACTGCTTTGACTTCCCTAGTGTTTGGCTCCAGGGCTGGCCCACTGTTTCCCTGCCAGGCTCTGTTCGTGGGTTAAAAATGTAACACGTCACTTCATCTCACCCATTTCTTCACCTCCCCGCAGAATAGAAGCAAAGCCATCTCAGAGAAAATGCCTTCCCTCGAGTGCCTGCCACGCCGCCAGGGAGGCTTTCCTCATCTCTAGCTCAGGTATCTCCTGCTGCTGCATTGGCTCGTTCTCATTTGTTTTAGGTTTCCCTGAGGAGGACTAGCGGGTGACCTGCTCTTACTTAGGGTAATAACTACTATAGCAGAAGATCATTCATTTATTAATTTCCTTATTTGAGCTCTGCCTTGTTCAAAAAAGGATATATGGTGGCTAACAAGGAGCCATAAAATACAATAGAGAATATACATAAAAAGTGAAAAAGGCTATTTAAAGCATACTGTTAACTAAAAAACAAAAAACCCCAAAACACCACAATTACAGAATATTGCATGTGTGAACCATGTATAAAATTAGTACAAAAAAATAAGTCCACCCCTAAATTTCTCTGTCCATAGACAGATGTATTAACATTTTAAAAGGAAAGATCTGAAGTAAACTTAAGATAGTGGTTATTGCTAGGGTTGGGGAAAGAAATAGTCTAAGGGGGACGATGGGCATTTCGACTCTGTGTAAAGTTTTATTGACTTGAAGCAAATGTGACAAAATATTAACTGTATAATAGTCACCTCTGTATGACAGGTATCGAGTGGAGGATTACTTTCTGTGCATTTCAGAATATTAGACTTTGCTCAAGCTATAAAGGGAGAGAAAAAGAAATAGAAAAAGACTTGGAAGAATACCTCAAAGTTATATTTACTTGCTCTAGGGAGCCACTAATGTCTCTCTAAGCTCCCTGAAGGCCAACAGAAAGAAAGAAGCCCGGTCAGCCGCATAAGCCTCGGTGCCACAACTGTCCCAGGTGAAGCATATCCAGGCTTCGGAGGAGGCCAGGGTCTGCACCGAGAGCCCCAGAAACATTGCTGGCCTCAGAGTGTCTGAAGGGGGTGGGGTTGCAGCAGAGCATTGAGAGTGTGTGTGTGCCACAAACCTGCATTTATAGAGCTCTTTACCTAAGCTTGTCCTCCTAGGAATAATTCAGGTGGGGCCGCCCTTGGTCCTGCTGGTCCAAAGAGGGGGCTGGTAGGATGTAATGACGAGCCCCTCCCAACAGCCCTGCCACCGGCCGAGGACGAGTTCTTTTAAATGGCATCACAGTGAGACCCAATTCATAAAGCAGTCTTGCCAGGAGCCTCCCCTCTGCAGAGCAGGCCCCCAGCTCTCTGCCCATCTGGTCTGGCCCAGAGACGGGTTTTTAAGTCCCTGGAAGAGTAAAGGGGCCATATGTCCTTAAAGCAAGGAACGTGAAGTATTCCTGCCCTTTGCAGAGCCTGTGACAATTACAGGGAGGGGCAAGGAGGGGCCTGTGCTGCCTGCAGGTGCCTGCGAGGGTCACCAATCTTCTCCCTGTGAGCTGGGAGCAGGCTTGGCTGTTTGCTAATGGAAGCTAAGGAGACCGGGGACCTGCCTCCTCAGATGGCCTATCCTACCAGCTCTGGAGGTGAGGCCAGCAGGACACACCACTTTGCCAGGGTTTCCCCACAGAAGGCTTTTAGAATTGGTTGTAGCACACAAACACACAGGCATTCAGGCACCCAGGGTCAGCTCCGGGCAGTGTGCCCAACAGTCTAGCCTAAAAAACGTTTAAGGCAGTTGTAACCAGATATCCACCCCCACCCACCTTGCCAAAGCAGAATTCAAGACTGTTTGCCTGGACTGCCCAGACTTCCTGGTGTGTCCCCTGGACGCCCTGCTTGGGAGCGGAGCTCTGTGGCCACCCCGGGAAGTGTGGAGCTGACATTTTACAGCCAGTGCACGTGACTTTCAGAAGAGTCCCTCTCTTTCCCTCACTTGGGGCAGTAATTACCGAAGGGAACCAGTAGCCTGTTCGGGCCTTTCCGGAACCTGTGCTCCCAAATAGCTGCACGTTCAGAGCGCCGGTTCTGGAGCCGGAACCCAGCCCCACCACTTGGGAGGTGGTGCATAACTTCAACTTGCTCGGCTCCCCCTTCTGCATCTGTAGCGTGAAGATAATACTAATGCACTGGCTTCACTCAGTTATTGGGAGGAAAATTCATCCGCGTGCCTGTGTGAATCTTAAACCTTGGTTATTATTATTGTTTATGTGAAGCAGCTGTGATATTTCTACCCCTGTGTTCTTCCTCCTGCCTTCTCTCTTCCAGACAAATCTTAATTCCTTTGTGACTTGACCCTCCAGTGCTTGAAATACTTCAATTGATCTGATACTGAGCGGTGAGCCATTCCACCAGCTCACACGTTACCCTCGTGTCTGGGCCTCACGTCAGTTTCCTGGGTGGGATGGTTTTGGGGGAGTCTGGGGTGTGTTCATGGAGTGAAGGAGGGGCCTTCGTCGCCAGACCCTCAGCCCTGCAGCTGTCTTTTGGGAAGAGCTTCCCCTTATTTTTCCCTGTCCCCCTCCTGCTGCCGTCTCCAAGGGAGAGTGCAAATTGGCATTCAGCTAATCCTGAAGCACAGGCCTGGAGAAATGTTCTCTTGCCACTTGCTTTGGGAAGAGGGGCTGTGAGCCGAGAAGGGCAGGTTGTTGGATTGGTCAAGTTGTGCGGAACGAGAGGAGTAATTTCTGAGGTGCTGGGGGAGACTCATGGGCTTCTGCAAAGAGGAAGGGGAAAAGGCCAGCTGCCACTGCAGGGGGCGCGCCCAGGGACCCCCACTAGGCTCCCCTCCTCACACAGCCAGTCTGGCCTCATCAGCATGCCGCCACTGAGGGCCACTGGGAGCCACACACACGGGTTACCCGGAGCTGAGAGTAATCCCAACACTCACAGGCACCAGGAATGAAAGAGAAGTGGAAACTGGGCGGGCAGGGGGAAGGGATGCTCACTCCAGACAAGCAAAGAACATGCATGTTCCCGGTGCAAAGGTTGTTCAATTTTTTTCGTCTCAGGGCCACTTTTTCCTCTTGAAAAGTATTGATGGCCCCAAAGAACTTTTGTTGTGTGTGTTTGCTATAGTGGTTTATATCGACTGTATTAGAGATTAAAACAGAGAAGTTTAAAATAGTTCTTATTTATTTTTAAAAAATCACTATAATAAGCCTATTACATGTTAGCATAAATAGCATATTTTTAAGAAAAATAGCTATATTTTCCAAAGCAAAAAAAGGAAATCAATATGAACAATGGCATTGTTTCGCAATTTTGCAAATCCGTGCAGTGTCTGGCTTAATAGAAGACAGTTGGATTCTCGTATCTGCCCTGCACTCAGTCTTCTGTGACGTCACCCAGTATGTAGCCTCTGGGAGATGCCCGCTCCTGAGCTAATGACAGTGACAAAGGCAAATCATATCTCGGCATTATTTTAAAAATAATTTTGACCTTGGAGAGCCTCCTGGAAGGGCATTGAGGACCCCCAGCCATCCCCAAACCACACTTTGAGGACTGCTATTCTGTCGAACACTGGAAACAACCCTTCTAAGATTCTGGAAACTTCTGTTAACTTCGTAGCATCTTCTCTCTTTACTCTTCCCCTAAGCCTGGTTTGTAGCTTAGTGTTTTCGTGATCTAAAGACCCTACCATCTGCCGGGTACTATTCTAACCGCTAAAGACACGAAGAAGAAAAGCCCAAAGACACTGACGCGAAGGTGTGGGAGAAGCTCTGTCACTCCCAGTCCAGAGGACACGACACTCAGCCCACAAGTGAAGGAGAAGCAGAGCCTCTTTTATGAAGGACCCCAGGGTGGACCCAGAGAGACACATGTGTTAAAGAGTCCCCCAGTGTGGTCCGCAAAGGGCTGTGCAGGCTGCAGTAACCAGGGAAGTCTTTACGGAGGAGGCAGATTAAGAATATGGTCTTCCGCCCTGGCTGGTGTAGCTCGATGGATTGAGCACAGGCCTGTGAACCACACGATCGCAGTTCAATTCCCAGTCAGGGACATGCCTGGGTTGCAGGCCAGGTCCCAGCAGGGGATGCACAAGAGGCAACCATACATTGATGTTTCTCTCCCTCTCTCCTTCCCTTCCCCTCTACATAAATAAAATCTTAAAAAAAAAAAAAAAAAGAATATGGTCTTCCCAGGGCAGGGCTGAGTAGTGATGAACCCGTCAGATGAAGCACAGGGGCGTGACTGAGGAGGGCTCTGGGAGAGACAGTGCATGTGAGGGGAAGGGGAACAGGCTCATGTATCTGGGACCCCTGCTTGAGCCTGGCCACTTTCTCCAGGGTGAGAACTCTGGGCTCTGGTGGACCAGCAGAGCCTCACTGGGACCTCCTAACCCCACCATGCCTTAAATCCCACCATGCCATTAAAATCTGTGCTGTGGGGACTCTCAGGACCGAGGACCCTGGCATGAGGCCGGGCCCCTCACCCTTGGGTGCAGGAAGGCACATCGCTAGGGACCCACTTGGAGCTCTTCCACCTTCTGCTCTGGCCCAGCTAGCACTGTCTCGAAGCGACCACTTACGCTGCTGCTGGGTTCTGCATTCCGGGCTAGTATTCTTTTCACTGCACTATTAACTTCCCTAAATGGCTATGAAAATTGAAAAAGAAAGGGAGAAAGGAAAGAAAAGAAAAATGAAGCAGTTGGACAAGAGTAATCTTTCTGTCCTTTCTGCCTCTGAAGTTGAGTAAATGTCATCTAGAAGTGTCCTAAAGACCAGCCCAGTGCTCTGGCAAAGCCCTTGGTTCCCAAGTCCTAAGTGAAGTGTTCATGCTGTGTAGACGAGGAAGCTCCCCTCGTGTGACCCTCTCCTGCCTTGTCCTGCAGAAGACCCGACACATCGGCCGAGGTGCTACTGACCTAGCAGCTTCTGCCCACGATGCAGCCGGGAGAAGCTCGAAAAGGTCCCTGTAAAGAAAAACAGAACTGGAAAACGAGAAGCTTCGTTACCCTGGTGAGACTATAAACCTTTTCCTTTTGTCATTTCTCTTCCTGCTGCTCCATCCTGGTGTTCCCAAGAGACAGGCAAGGCCCCCGAGGGGGAGGGGGGCGGCGAGAAGGGCCCAATATCGGCCCGTTCACATCTGGTCCGAGGTACAGGGGCACCTATGATCAAACGAGTCGGCATTGGTACAGAAAGGAGCAAAATCATATTTATACATAAGAGTAATCGGATCAGGCAAATGCGGAGGGGTGGGAGATTAATGAATTAGGAACCAAACAGGAGTGGGAGTGGGGGGAGAGCCTCAGAAGGCTGGAATGAAGCTGATTGAAGATCCATTGCCCATAAATCAACTGCCTTCCCTGTGGAGACTCAAGTCTGTCTGGACCATAATATGCAGATTGGTGGGAAAGCTACCCTCCTCACAAGCTGGAGAGAGACACTGTGTTTTGTGGGGCTAGATAAGAAAGAGCAGCATAAAGGGAGGAATAGATCAACGGAACAGTGGGGGCCATGTGCTTTTCTACCTCATTCGCTTTCTCCAGGTTCTGTGGCTTCTGATTAGCTCTGTGGCTTGCTGGGTGATTTAACAGGGTTTTTTTTTTCTAAACTTATTGCCAGGGAAGCTCCAAACTTCCAATAAACCTGCTGTAGAAAGGCAGCTGGGACCCAAGGAGGGAGCCACCAGAGTGTGTATGAAAGCATGGTCTCTGGGGAAGCCACAAAGATTGCGTGCACCTTAGTAATTCATTGTCTAAATGTTCCTGCGGCAGCCCCCAGGGCCAGCTCTGACTTATACCCAGGGCAGCAGGGTGTTGGCCAGAGGAGGGAGATGGGGTGCAGCAATGGCGGGAGCAGTGGCCTATGGCCATTGTTAGGAGCCCAAACTCCTGGAGCAAGGCCAAACCACCTCTGGGGAGGCCCACAGTCCCTGGCCCCCTGGCTAAAGAGCTTGTTATTGTGCTGGTCAGCCGCGTTTACAAAGGAGACTTGTGTGCAGGGGAGAGCCACGACTTGCTAGGGGTGAGGCCATTCCCCTGTTCACACCCACTCCCTCCCACACATGTGTGATTCTTTAACTGCTGTTCTGCATATATTTATACACACAGATGCATGTTTGCAGCAGAGATGACACCAAGCATCGCCATGGGTGTGGGGACATGAGCCTCCCCGTGCACTGCTGTGGCAAAGTAAATTGGTAGTGTTTGCAGGGCTGGGGGTAACTTGGGACTACACAATAGCATTGTAAGCAAGTTCCAGGTTGGCCCAGAAGTTCGTGTGGTATTTTCTGTAAAATAAAAGATACTTTTTTTTTTCCATTTTCACAAGTAACTGTTGATTTGGATATTTTGAGTATGTTGCTATCTCCCACGTGGTATAACACTGATTGTTCTCAGTTAATGTCTCAATCTGATCACCATCAGCTTCAACTGGTCTACCTGACCGTGGAGCATCGTCCAGCGAGAAATCTCCAGCTCGAAACTTTGCAAACCACCTTTGACATGTTTGATCAGTCATAGCACCTTCTTCACACACTGCACAAATCTATTTTTGCATTTCAGTTGTGTTTTTACCTTTCTTGAAATGATGAAGCATAATACACCAAAAATGTTGCTTATTTTCTTCCATCTTCAATATTAAAATGGCTACACAAAAATTTACCAATTTCGTTTTTTTTTTCCTAAAAATGCACACTGATGTGACAGCTGTCACAATTCAATCTAACAAAATTGTTTCAAATGAAGTTAAAGACAACGGAGCACGACTAGAGTCATCTTAGGGAAAAAAACAGGTGAACTTTTTGGCCAATCCAATATATATGCTTTATTCTGGCAATTGCATTTCTGGGAAAGTATTGATAGGAAATAACCAAATTGTGTTCCAAGGTAAATGTACAAGGATTTGCTTATTGCACTGCTGTTTGTGGGCATCAGAGCACTGGAGAAGTCCCAGCCATCTGCAGATGGGGTCGGTTAGTAAATGAGGGTACAACCATGCGAGGCTGGCCGTGCTGCCATTCAGTGATGCTGTGGGCCCATGTATATCAGCACAAGCATACAGTCACAGTATCTTGTTCTATATTCAACAGCAGGTTATGAAACAGCACTGCATAATATGATTCATAGTTTTCATAAATAAACATCACACAAGTGCATGAAAGCAGCCCAAAAGAATAGATATTAAAATGTTGACAGCACCCACCCAACATGTGGGGTTCAGATGGTTTTCTTTTTGCTTTCTTGCACTTTCTAAATTTTATATAATGAGTTCTATATGTCTGTGCACGTTATTTAAAGGTCAAGAAGGGGAAGACTGTGTACGTGGCCGCAGGTGAGCCACGGCTGGTTCTGTTGCCAGTCAGGCTCCCGCTTGGCTGTCCCATTGTCCAGGGCAGCCAAGCAGGGCTGACTTCACTTTCCTGAAAGATTCCTGGGAGACACAATCTCATAACACAGCACAGGCAGTTCAGGGAGGTCTGGTCTAATTCTAGAAGGCCCTCAGGCCACATTCAGGGTCCAGAGCACCCCTGTTCTTTCCCCTAGAAAGGGCCAAAGCCTGCCAGGACAGGGTCCCTGAAGTGCCTTGCCCAGTCCAGGTAATGGGGAGGGAGGTGGGAGAAGAGCAGGTAAAAGAGAATAAATTGCATCCCCTAAATTTGTCTGATATTCCAGTAGAGAAAAATTCAATGAAGCTGACAAGCATTATAAAAGTTTTTGAATATAAAAATAAAACATTTTTATCCCAGTATCTGCCTTTTAACTTTGTTATTCTTCCATCAAAGGGTAATGAAGACAGAGTCTCTAGGGCATCCCACCTTTTTACTTGTGACGATTTCGGTAGCATGCAGGATCCTGGGAAAGCAAATTAATAACTACCTTTCACACACATTAGACATTCAGATCCTGGGTCTCCTAAGCATATTGGAGTAAATACCTCCTCCCTGTCCAAGATTCTGCCCCCCCCCCATTTTATTGAGATATAATCGACATATAATATTCTATTAGTTTTAGCTGTAGAACATAATGATTTGATGTATGTACATATTGTGAAATGATTACCACAGTAAGTGTAGTTAACATCCATCACCTCACACAGTTACATTTTTTTTCTTGTGATGAGGACTTTTAAGATTCACACATACGGCATTTGTGTTTCTCTCTCTGACCTTCTTGGAGATTCTGTTGGATAGAGCAGCAGCTCCAGGACCAGGAAGCAATTGTAAAACAAAACGCAGCTTTAAGAGTCTCTGAGTCAGTATCCAGCTACCCCAATGCAGGGCTCTGCAGAGCTCTGACAAAGCGGGGCTGAACTTTCGGTCAAAGTGGCAACTGTTTCTTTTCTCCAATCTCTGCCTGTCCTATCCCCAGAACAGAAGGACAGGTCAGCCTATCCCCTACGGTGCTGAGAAAGGCCAATTTGGAGTACATTTGTAGACCAAAAAAAAAACAAAAAACAAAAAAACCCAATACAGAATTAGTAAATGTGTCAGTACCTCCAGCAGTCAGCTGATATGCTGGCTGGGCTACCCACAGCCATGCTGATTCGAGGCAGGAAGTAAAAGAGAAAATGGGCAAAGTGTTCAGGAACATTTCATGTACAGTGACTTAGACTCTAAGAGCCTCCCCTCGTCCTGTGAATGGAGAACCTCTACAGGCAAGCTCAAATGGACCCATGGGGTTGGGGAGCTGGCTGAGAGAGGTTCTGTTCTCCCTACAGACAGAGGTGGAAACATGGGGGAGAGGGGAGAGATGTTCACTCACCAGCAACACCACATCTGATGAAAGAAGGGACCGATGGTTGAAACACGACCTGTCATCCCCTCCATGGGTCCAGAGAATCCCCAATCTCTGCTGTTCCAAGATTTGTCTGCCTGGACTCGGAGACACCTTCTGAAAGTTATCTCCCCTCTGCGGATTGGCTGGAGGCATGGCCTTGTCTCTCCAGCTCCCTAGACCGACCTGCAGCTGAAATAGGAGCTCTGAAGCCAGACCCTGGGAAGCCCTCAGTTCCCTTGAGGCCTTGATGATGGAGGCAGTGGCCCTTGGTTGCTGATTTTGTCCCTCCTGAAATGCTGATGAAAGAGTGGGGAGGTCAAACAGGAGAGGAGGGGTATATGTTTGTTCCCAGGAGGTAATCCTAAACCCCAAAGTTAAGCTTCATAAATGACTTGCCTACTCTTTCCAGGAGACAATGAAACAACATGGAAGATTAAATAAGGATCCCTAATATCAGCCATGGAGTTTCTTCATATTTCAGAATATGGCCCGAGTTATGAAACTACTCTAGATTAAATATTTTGGGTTCTGTCCCCTTTTCTGGGAATCACGTTCTTCCCACAGGCCCTCTGAGAGCAGGTCCAGATGGCCATAACCTGTCTTACGTTAGCCTCCTCTCCCTCCTGCTGCAGCTGATTGGACCAGGGGTGGGCACCTGACTTCAGTGAAGCTCATATAACCTAGTGAACTCAGCCAATCAGATTCTCCCTTGCATATACAAACTAAAAGCATTTGGGAATGGACATTTGAGATCACAGCCATGTAGAATGGGAGTTGGAATCAAGGCCAGGCAAACCCAAGCCACATGTGAGCCAAAATTGGAGGGGCAGGGGTGATCAGAGGAAGCAGAGCAAGATGGTCAGAAAAGAGAATAAAGCAGAGCAGGAAAGAGGGTCTAAGGATGAGAAGAAATGGGACAGGAGGGAAGGCAGATGGCAAGTGAGAAACACAGGTGCCACAAGACAGAAAGAAACATGGAGCAGGTTGGGGAGTCTTTTTGGTCCCCTCTGGCTTCCTCGTTACCAGCTTCAGTTCCCAAGAGGCCTGAATTCACTTCATTTCTACAAGAGGCTTCCATATCCTTTTATTAATCATCCTTTTCTTTACATTTTTGTTCCTTTCAGCCTTTGAGCTCTGATTCAAACCATGACCCTGGCCATAGCAGCAGGATGGGGCAGTTTGAGAGGGCCGCTGACTGCCATTGGCCATGCCTCATGGAGTGGCACAGGCCCTTGA